AATGTATTGGTTGGTGTGTGTGTGTTTTTTTTAATATTATGTTCATAGTTTATACTCAATGCATATTTAACGTTTGTACCAAAAGTTTTTTTTAGTGACACTAAAATTTTGTTTTCCCTTTTATGGGTTTTGTTCACTTTACAATTCATAAAAAGTTAGAACATTGTTTTTCTCTTATGGATTTATATCCTTCCAAGTATTATACCTTTATTAAGTATATTAATTCTGGATTTAGTTTCTGCTCCCAATAGGGACTATTTTTTTTTTTTATTCTAATTCTGACAAGACTATGCAAAATTGCCTTCTTCTCATTAGCATTATGCTCTTTTTGGCATTTTTTAAAGTATTTTAAATAATGACTGCATAAAATGTCATAATATTTGGAATTGACCCCTTTTGTTATATCATCCAATGTGAAAAGCTTATGAAAAGAGCTGCAAGATGTTTAAAAATAAATATCTTCAAGACATCTTTCCTATCACCTGTGAATCAAAATAATTTAGGGCATCTTGTTTTTCCTTAGCTCTTCCCCCTCCTCAATTTACTAACATCCTCAATCCTACTAAGTGCCCCAGTCAGCCACCATTCTCTCACAGGTGTTGCATCTATCTGATTTAAAACGTGTTTTGTTTTAAACCTTTGTTTTGACTGGATTGATTAAAAATTATTTTGTGGAGAGACCAAGATGGCGGCATAGGTAAACACCGCAGACTGCTGCCGCAAACAACCACTTCAAAAATACAACTAAAAGACGGAACGGACATCACCCAGAACCACAGGAAGGCTGGCTGAGGAGAGACTCTTCAACTAGAAGGAAAAATAACAGCACACCGAGGCTCAGAGGAGGCGCAGTGTGGAAAAAACTCAGGTGCGGAGGTGCGCGCGCAAAGCGGGCTGGTGGCTGAGAGCGCGGTTGTCGTTTTCGGTCAGGGGGGAGTCTCAGACTCTGAGCTCCAGATACGGGCGAATCGCTGGGGACTCGGACCCAAACGGGAGAAGCGGGAGTGTCTGGCATCAGTTGGAAGGCAGCTTTCCCTCCGAGGTTTGCAGCGGTTCCGGGGGTTCTGAGAAGCAGAGCCTCTGGGAACAGGACTGAGGGCACCATAACGGCTCCCTCCGCCCGCCCTGTTGAGCCCGCCCCGCCCAAGCCCTGCGCAGAGCCATTTGCCGGATCGCCGCAGGCAAAGGCTAGATTAGCGCCCCCCCAGAGGACAGAAGTTTTCCCACTGCAGCAGACACAGCTGATTCTCACAGCCAGTCGGCCTGGTGGTCAAATCCCTCTAGTATTAACTACAACAATCAAGGCTCAACTAGAACAAGACTGCGCACAAAGACCACTAGGGGGTGCACCAAGAAAGCATAAAAAATGCGGAGACAAAAAAACATGACAGAAATGGAGGATATAGAGCTAAAAATCGCAATTTTGAGGGCTTGCAAAAATGTGCTAGAAGCTGTCAATAAACTTGAGGAGAGAGTCACGAAAACTAATGAGACCCTCGATGCTATGATAAAGAACCAACTAGAAATTAAGCATACACGGACTGAAATAAAGAATATTATACAGACACCCAATAGCAGACCAGAGGAGCGCAAGAATCAAGCCAAAGATTTGAAATGCGAAGAAGCAAAAAACACCCAACCGGAAAAGCAAAATGAAAAAAGAATCCGAAAATACGAAGATAGTGTAAGGAGCCTCTGGGACAGCTTCAAGCGTACAAACATCAGAATAATTGGGGTGCCAGAAGATGAGAGACAGCAAGATATTGAAAACCTATTTGAAGAAATAATGGCAGAAAACTTCCCCCACCTGGTGAAAGAAATGGACTTACAGGTCCAAGAAGCGCAGAGAACCCCAAACAAAAGGAATCCAAAGAGGACCACACCAAGACACATCATAATTAAAATGCCAAGAGCAAAAGACAAAGAGAGAATCTTAAAAGCAGCAAGAGAAAGAGACTCAATTACCTACAAGGGAATACCCATACGACTGTCAGCTGATTTCTCAACAGAAACTTTGCAGGCCAGAAGGGAATGGCAAGAAATATTCAAAGTGCTGAATACCAAGAACCTACAACCAAGAATACTTTATCCAGCAAAGCTATCATTCAGAATTGAAGGTCAGATAAAGAGCTTCACAGATAAGGAAAAGCTAAAGGAGTTCATCACCACTAAACCAGTATTATACGAAATGCTGAAAGGTATCCTTTAAGAAGAGGAAGAAGAAAAAGGTAAAGATACAAATTGTGAACAACAAACATGCATCTATCAACAAGTGAATCTAAGAACCAAGTGAATAAATAATCTGATGTACAGAATGAACTGGTGATTATAATGAATCAGGGACATAGAAAGGGAATGGACTGACTATTCTTGGGGGGGAAAGGGGAATGGGAGATGCGGGAAGAAACTTAAGAAAAAAAAAAAATTATTTTGTGATCTTTACTAACCTAAGAGAGGATGTAATGCCATGAATTAAGTACATTGTCCCGTGATTCAAAATTCTTTTTCTTAATGTACCAAATTAAGCCAAAAAAAGAATAAAAACCTCAAAATAGGCTTGCCACTGTTTTTTTTCCCCCCAGTAGTGATTGCCACTTTTTTCAAATTGTACCCAGACAGGAAGATTACTGAATGTACTGTTCTGGAGCAACAGAATCACCTTAAGGCAGGAAAAATAACAGTGATTTTTTTTCCCACTGGCACTCCTCAATCTATTGCCTTTTTCTAGTTCTGAGGGCATTGGCAACTTGAAGAGTGACAAATTATCCTTAGTAACATCCACAGTATTAGCTCCTAATTATTACCTTGATACTTATTAAGATGCTATTGAGTTATATAAGACATATAAAACACTGCTCTGTCTTCTGTGTTGGCCCAATCTTTTGGAAGATAAGAGATGGGCTCTTTTGTTAACATAATACATTTTTTTGAAAAGTAATTTTATAATGAAAATATCTCCATGTGGTTTTGATCTATATTTTTTATTATAAGTGAGGCTGAGAATCTTTTCATAGGGAACCATTTTCAGATTTTAAACGATACAATCATTTTTCAGCCCATTTAACAATAACAACTTTTAGTCTATTTTCAGATACTCTATATGTTTATGTTATAACGTTTTTAAAAAATATGTTTTTATTGACATTAGAGAGTGCGGAAGCAAGAGGATGAGAGAGATAGAAATATCAATGAGAGAGAAACATTAACATTGATTGGCTGCCTCCTGCATGCCCCACACTGGGGAATAAGCCCAAAATCTGGGCATGTGCCCTCACCAGGAATCAAACCAGTGACCTGTTGGTGTATGGGTCAGTGCTCAACCACTGAGCACACTGGCCGGGCATCAACTTTTTGTGTGAAATAAGTTACAGTATTTTGCCCAGTTTCCACTATAAATTTTTAAAATTACCTTTACAATGATGTGATTATTTAAACTATATATTTATTGTCACTTAAATACTATAAAATTGGCTATATATCCATGTGACAAAATGGATGGACCTTGAGGGCATTATGCTAAGTAAAATAAGTCAGACAGAGAAAGACAAATACTGTATGATCTCACTTATATGGGTAATCCTTAAAATGGAATTCATAGAAATAGAACAGATTGGTGGTTGACAGAGACAGGGGTGAGGGTGGGGGAAATGGGTGAAGGTCCTTAAGAGGTAACAACTTCCAGTTATAAGAAAAGAATTCTGAGGATGTTATGTACAATATGGAGACTAGCTAAAAATACTTCACTGTATATTTGAATGTTGATTAGAAGTAGATCTTAAAAGTTCTTAACACAAGAAAAAATACTTGTAACTCTATGAGGAGATGGGTGTTAACTAAACTTATTGTGGCAATCATATCACAATATATTCATAGATCAAATCACTATGTTGTACACCTAAAATGAATACAATGTTATATGTCAATTATAACTGAAAATTTAAAATTTCTGTGAAATAAAATATATCATATTTGAACTAAAATATAAGCTCTGAGAGAACATACCTGCAATTTCTACAAATAAAATATTAATGTGAAGATTAAACTTACACAACTCCTATAGCAAATAAGTATTAGCATCCAGATCAGAGAGACAAAATTCCATGATAGGTCAATGGTTAAAGAGTATACACAGGTAATTCACAACAATGGAAAGCCAAGTATAGGTACAAATAAGTTATGTTTTAGTTTTAATAGGAAATTGGCAAAATAGGTGGGGCCGAATGAAAACTGAGAAAGGAAAATGAGGTGATGGAAAATAAATATTCACATCACTGCCATTATGATTCAAGTTAGTTAGGGGGTAAAGTCAGATCAGCAGAACTGGTTAATGGTTCATTGAAAGAAAAAGTGTTAAGAAGATTAGTGGTGTGCGTGAGCAGATGGAGAGGGAAGAAATAAGCAGCTGGCTGTGTCTGGCCTGTAATGAGAGAATGAACTTTTACTGTTGAAGATTTCAAAGGATTGAGAACTCTGATAATGACTAAACCCAGAGTTTGGACACCAAACTGTGGTTAAGTGGAGGGTAATAAAGATGGCTGGCTAGAGAAGGTCAAGGGGTTGTAGATGGATCCATTGAAGACTGAAATTGCTAGAATGAGAGAAGGGTTTTAGGATAAAGACAATGGTGCTTATTACCATTTTTTAAAAATCCAGAACAGTTCAATTAGGCTGATAGGTCTAAAAACCTGTGCACTAGTAATAAAAAAACATGAATATAAATCTTGGCCTTTTGCAGATGAACTTATGCACATTTGTCCTTTTGTATTGACCTCTAAGTTTATACAACGAAGAAACAGAATTAAGACAAATTAGCATTCTATTGGCCTTAAGAACGAAAAAAAATGTAGAAGTATCAGCCTGTCTATAGAATATTGGTAGTAATTCAATAGCTCTTACCCTAAGGTTAGTGGATTTTCACACATTTTCTCTTCATCCTCTATGAACTGCTGGATTACTAATTATTGATATTCCACTGTGTGTTTTTTGTTTGTTTGTTTTAGATTTGTTGCTTCTGAAGAAAAATACCTCCAGGAAAAGTTCACCTTTCTCCCCTTCTCTATATCCTGTTCATGGTAAGATTAGGCAGTGACCCAAGTGTTGGTTTCCTCCTGTGCCCTTTGCATGCTTGTTTTCAGCTCCTGAGACTTAAACTCAATTCTAAATCACTCTGTGTGGCCCCATGAGCTCCTGCAGGCTGAATGCTGAGTATTCAGAGGCTGTAATAATTGATGGGGCTTCTGGTTCTCCTTTAAGATGCACTGTCTGTCTTCCTGCACAAGCGATCATGTGTCATCTTAGCTACGTATGTCCCAACAGCTGACAAGCAATGGTATGCTTAGTGGAACTTTAAACAGAGCATGGAAGCTTCTGGAAACACTGTATATCATTGACAGTGGCAGTGCTTAAAATTCCTAATTACTTTTATACTAGTAGAGCTCAGGGTACCTGACCAAGCCTCACGGTGCCTGAGTTCCAGTTCTGGCTTGCCTTAGCCAGCTCCGTTCCCGTGGGCAACTCAGAGTCACTGCACTTTAGATAGTTTTTTGTTTTGTTTTGTTTTTACCTAGAAAAGATTCTTAAAAGCCACGAATATAATAGGGTTATTTGAACTGTGTTGATGTTATATTTTTAAGGATATCAACACAAGTTAAATGCACACAAAAATATTCACAAGGTGCCAAAACAGAGAAGGGAAGACATATTTTAAGTCAATTGGTGCCTACAATGTTCGTCTTCCCTTCAGCGTCCCTAAGGTGCTTGTTCTTTAATTACAGGTGGAGCAGAGCATTCCTCAGGCTGTCGCAGGTTACGTTGAATCCCAAGAGTTTTTACAAAGGTACAGTGTTTGGAATCTAAAATAATTACCGCTAAGCTGACCATACCACTTTGTGATATTTTAAATATGCTTAGGGACATTTAATGAAGCATTACTATTTTAACGTCTTTCATTATTTTAGATTAATTACATATTGTTCTTAAGTAGTTACACATGCAGTAATTTTCAAAGTGGAATATAATTCTCTCTCTAAAATAATAAAATAAAAACACATTTTAATAGAACTGCATTGCTACAATGTAATCTATAAGTGTCTAAGCATTATTATTATTGAAAAATTTTAAAAAGTCCTTCACTTTGAAAAAATAAAAAATGCTAGGTTTACTGTTTTTGTGTTGTACTAGAGGCCCGGTGAATGGATTCCTGCACCAGTGGGGTCACTCGGCCTGGTCTGCATCCTCTCACAATCCGGGACCCCTCAGGGGATGTTGGATTGTCGGTTTTGGACTGATCCTCACAGGCCAGGCTGAGGGACCCCACCGGTGCACGAATCCGTGCACCAGGTCTCTAGTATGCATATAAGATCTTTGGTTAATTGCTTCCCACCCTCTCCCTCCCCCCTTCCCTCTGAGATTCATCATTCTCTTCCATGTTTCCATGCCTGTGCATTGAGCGTCTACACCCTGGTGGTCAGTGCACATCATAGCTACCAGCCAAACGGTCGAACGGTTAAATGGTTGAACAGTCGGTCAGTCGCTTAGACTTTTATATATAGAGATTATTTAAGTTTATTATACTATATTCCTGTTTCTTAAACATAATACATTTTTCAAGTGTTTCAAGTGTTAGGAAATGTAGTCCCAAGAGTACATAGATTTCCAGGGATCAAGTAATTTAGGGGTTTTGGGTTATACTCTTAGTTGGTGATAGATTTTCAAACATGGCAATTCTCAATGGCCTTTCTTATCAGAAAGTATCCATGTTCAATGAAGAAAAGACAACAGACATACATAGAGTTCATTTTTAGTAACAAATTAGGAAGGGAGAATCAGAGAGAAAATGGCTGCAATTTTCAACCTGCTTGTTATACTGTCCAGAATCTTTCACTTGAGTCTGCCCACATTTTAAATTTCAAGATATAAAAGAAAACATCATTTCCATGTATTTGTTTTTATTTCAATTTAGAGGCAGCTTAGATTGGTAAGATGTGAGTCCAAATGTAACTGGTTTATCACCTTGACCCATGCCACTACTTCAAGACATTCATTTTGTGTGACTTTAAGATATACTCTTTGCTTCAATTTGCTGGAATATTATAAAACATGAATAAAAATACATTTTGAACCTGCTTAATAGTATTTAGAAAAAAAATCCAATTTGTCTAAAATCAAAATCCAACAGTGAATTAAATAATGTTTAGGGGAAAAAATAGAAGACTGAGAAATTGAGTTAATTTTCCAAGTTATTTTTTGAAATGTTTAATTCTAAAATGCATAGATGTGATATTTGAATTATCTAATTAATTAGAATATTAAAGTCAATATATAATTAAATGACAATTTGAAAAAATCCAACAGTATTGGAGCACACCATGAGTGAGAAACATACTTTGTATCCCCCATAGTGTCTTGATTCTAGCATTCTAGAAGCTTGTTGTGGGAATGAATCCTCACCCACTCTCTCATCATGCATGCTAATATGCATCCAAAGGTGAGGAATACAGGGGAAATAGAATCTTATTTTCCCAGTGGATTGCCTTTCCATCACTTCACATATAACAGCCAAGTAAACGCCAGCTGGGACTTTTTGTGGATATGACATGGGGTGTTTTCCCCTCCTCCTCTATAACTCTGTATCTTCAGTACAGAGCTCCTCTGCTTTAATTCTGGTTTGCATATTGCACATTACTGTAAGAAGGTATTTAGAGAAAGGATTGATTCCATAGTTGGGAGGACTTTGAGACAGTATTGTACTAATGCAAAAGTCCAAGAACATGGAAGAGGAAAGTGATCTGAGGGTAAAGGTCAGCAAATGAGCCTTTTATTGTAATCCAAGTACACTTTTTAAACGGCTTATTCACATCAGAGAATGGAGGTCAGTTTCTGTCTCCTGAGAAGGTGATTTCTTGCCAGTAAGTCTGTATATGTTGGTTACCAAGCGGGGTGGGGTGCTATCCCATGCGAGCAACATGTCCCACTATGAATCCCAGCTGAACTATTGAGATGAGCATGCTTCCCTGCTTTTAGATCTAGCTTTATATTTCAGGGTCGCTGTGTGACTCTTGGCTTCAATAATACAGTCACGCCCCTAGGGATCACAAACAGTAAAGACATATCACAAGCATTTTTCATAAATGTGATAAATTTTGAAACTTTTGCATTTATTTTTGCCAGCAAATGTTTGACTCATCTAGTTCTTGGCATTCACTGTCAGGATTTTGGCAAAGAATGTTATTTTCTATCAAAAGAAGAGATCTTTTCTTTCTCTGATCATGCATAGTTTGTAAATCAAAGACTTGTTTACCACTTAATGTAAAGAATTATTTTCCCTACTCGGATTTCTATCAAATGGGGACAGTGATAGACACTCACTGCCATTTGACTTTATGGTAAATCCCACAGAGTTCTTAGTAAAGCTACATCAAATCTGCCTTCTTACATATTTTCACTTTTATAACTTGTGTTTCTTTTGTCTGGCTTCTTTCAAATTTGTAATGATGCATATATTTATGATATAATACCATCTTATATTTAAAAATAGCTTTTAAGTCAAGCTTTTAGTCTTTTTTTTAATGTATAACTTTTTTGTTTCTTTTTTTGTTGTTGTTAATCCTCACTTGAGGATATTTTTTCCACTGATTTTTAGAAAGAGTAGAAGGGAGGGAGGGGGAGACACAGAGAGAGAAACATCAATGTGAGAGAGACACTGGATTTTATTGTGAGTCACAAAGTGCTGTGAGCCTAGCGAATACCATGTAACGCAATATGAAGGAGAAAACCCTATTCCACAAAATTATTTTCTCTCTGCATTGCCTAAATATAGTATAAACAATATTTACAGATGTGAATAATGATTATTTCAAAGATTAGGAGGAAATGGTTATCTTGCTTTAATAAAAGAAGAGGAAAGAGAAAATCAGGGGGAGGGGTCAACACGTCCTTCTGCGAGTGATGGGTTCCATAATGGCATTGTCAGCGGTGGTCAAGGGGGTCTCTGTCTAGAGACAGTACCCTGTGACCCCAGTTCTTGTCTCGCTTGTAGGAATGAATTCATACAATAGACTACAAATGTCAGCAAAAACAAGTGAGTATTTCTTTGTAGGAAAGAAATACACTCAGATAGGATCTGAGCAGGCAACTCAGCTGGCCAAACTGAGTGCCCCGCTTGGGTGGGGGGTTTGGGACATTTATATCCTAGACTGGGGTGCTCCTCAGTAAGTCTCCCCCTTCCTTATTTCTAAGGGAAAAAGGTGTCTTTAATTTATAAGGCTCCTTCATCTAGGTATTATGCCATCAGATCACATCCTGGAGGCTCTGAATCTTTCCTGCCTGCATAGGGCCTGATGCCTCCATTGTCTATTTTCAGTTTGTCACGTCTCACACTTACTTCCTCCAAGCCCCAGCTGCCTCTCCAGCCTCTCCCAACTCATATCTTTCTATCTGCCTGCTCTAACAGTGCGACTGTGTTGGAACCAGAGGAAAGTCTGCTGCATAGAATATTACAAATCTGACAAATGACCCAGGAATTCCAGTTTCTGCTTCCACATGTAAGGACCTTGGAAGTCACCATTTTCTCATAACAACAAGTAAAAAGTTATTGAACAAACTGCACAATAAATAATATGTCTTAGATCTGTAAGAGAAGTAAGTAAGGTCATAGGACAAAGGGCTGCCCCTCCAAATTAGAGACCAACAAGCAAAAACAGAGAATTGCAACTTCCTAGAGCAGTGATGGTGAACCTTTTGAGCTCGGCGTGTCAGCATTTTGAAAAACCCTAACTTAACTCTGGTGCCATGTCACATATAGAAATTTTTTGATATTTGCAACCATAGTAAAACAAAGACTATATTTTTGATGTTTAATTTATATATTTAAATGCCATTTAACAAAGAAAAATCAACCAAAAAGATGAGTTTGCGTGTCACCTCTGACATGCGTGTCATAGGTTTGCCATCACTGTCCTAGAGCATAAAGTCAGGAGCTGAAATCTTCACAGGAACCCAGGCCAGGGTAGGAAGTGTTAAACTGTAACGGATAAATTGCTGGAGGCTCAGAGTAGACAAGTTTGATAGTTAAAAACTTCAAGGGGACCCGGTCATTAGGAGCCCCACACTTCTGTGAGTTTTACCTCTAGGAATTCTACCAGGTTCTCACAGTAGATATTGTCGGGGTTGTGGTGGGGGGTTCCCTTCACTGCACTAGGAAGAGGGAAAGGAGCCATTTTTGCAATATGCCAGAGCACTCTGTTCTTCTTAGCAAGGCCAACCCTCAGGAGAAACTCTAACCAGAGCCTACCTGTTGGGTTTTATTGGAACCTCTCTGACCTGACAGGAAGGAAAGTTCCTAGTAGTCAGTGCTGCCATCCTGTCCCACCTAAAGGGATGAGAGGACAACTAAGAAACACTTGTGAGGTTCACTCACTTAAAAAATGGGCCAACGACTTTAACAGACACCTCACTAGAGAAGACATACAGATCGCTGATAGGCACATGAAAAGATGCTCCAAGTCTTATGTAATCAGGCAAACGCAAATGAAAACAACAATAAGATACCACTACCCACCTATTAGAATGAACAAGCACTAACAAGACCAGATGCTGGAGGAGATGTGAGCTCCCATTGCTGGTGGGAATGCTAAATGGCGCAGCCACTTTGGAAGGCAGTTGGCAGTTTCTTACAGAACGAAACACGCTTACCACGCAATCCAGCCTTCGCGGCCCTGACGGTCAGCCAAAGGAGTTGAAAACTGACATCCATACAAAAACCTACACGTGGACGTTTATGGAAGCTTTATTTGTAATTGCCAAAACTTGGAAGCAACCAAGATGTTCTTCAGTAGGTGAATTAATAAACAAACTGGTACATATAGACAGTGGAATATTATTCAGCACTAAAAAGAAATGAATTATCAAACTATAAAAAGACAAAGAGGAAACTTCAATGTATATTACTAAGTGAAGCCTTATTATTAATTGGCAATTCATACTATTAATCTGAAAGGCTATATACTATATGATTCCAACTATATGACATTTCACAAAAGTCGGTTTCAAGTCTATGAAGACAGAGAAAAGATCAGTGATTGCCAGGCATTAAGAAAGAGGAAGGGATGAATCGACAGAACACAGAGGATTTTCAGGGCAATGAAATTACTCTGTTATACTACATTGCTGCTTAGATGTCATTATACATTTGTCTACATCCAAGAGTTAACCCTAGTTAACCCTATAGTTAACCCTATAAAACACCAAGAATTAACCCTAATGTAAACTATGGACTTTGGGTGATGATATGTCAATGTAAGTTCATCAGTTGTAACACATGTAACCATCTGGTGGGGGATGTCGATACTGGGAGAGACTGTTTATGTGTGAAGGGAGGGAGTATATGGGACATCTCTGTACCTTACTCTCCATTTTCCTATGACCTTAAAACTGCTATTAAAAAAGTCTTTAAAATAATGACCCGAATTTGGTATGTTTACCTTTAAAAGTATTAATTTTAATCACAGTAGCTTTTTGAAGGGAATTTGGAAGGGTTGCGTGAAACAGAGTCAAGAAGCATGGCCTCAGATTTCATCCCAAGCGGGTGTGACTTGCTATCTTAACCCAGGCAGATAAAAAGTAACAAAAGCAAGAGATGTGAAGGAAAATGTGATCAGAGGAACATTTGGAATCACTTCTCAGACATTTGGGTATGCGGCAAAGACCAGAATTGTCTAAGAAAATTTATTTTGCAACATTCTGCCAAATCCCAAATGCCAGAGTGTCTTGGCAGACGCCTTGCAATTTCAGTCTAGCTGCTCGACATCATTTTCCAAAGGCTGGGCTTGGTGATGTTACATGCAACAGTGTTGACAGGAAGCAAAACTGCTCAGATGCCACCCTACTTTAGAAAAATGTCAATAACCAAATATGCTTTGAATTCTATTATGAAAGGATTCTTGTTTATAATGCCTTTTCCCCCCAATTGTTTTTGTCATTTTATAGTTTCATGTTGAGGGCATAGTGCTATGATTCAAGTTCCTTTTCTGTAACCTGGCCTATGTTTGAAGAGAGAAATGAAGCTGAACAAGGTACTGCTCAGTATTGCATATCAATTATTACATTTGAATGGATACGTGTAGCATCTAACTAATAGATCAAAGTCTTTAACACTGTGCATTTCGCTCTTCTATATTTCTTATGGACAGTGAAATGAAGGTAATTTCTCTACTTAGTGTAATAGATCTTCATGTAAGTGAAACTCATGATCAGGTTAGGGGTTAAAAATCTAAACAATGTAGCAAATTGCATTTTTTACATTGGAATAATCTTTTGTAATTAATTTATAGTTAGGGTGACATTGGTTATTGGGGTCATATAGGTTTCAGGTGTAAATAATATATATATTGCATTGTGTGCCCACCACCCAAAATCAAATCATCTTCTGCCACCACACGTTTAGCCCCTTACCCTTTACTCGCCCCCCTCCCTTGCATCTGGTAACCACCATGCTGTTGTCTGTCTGTATCATACATAGCAGCAACTTGTTTTTGCCGCTACATTACATAATTTGCCCACCACCCAAAATCAAATCATCTTCTGCCACCACATGTTTAGCCCCTTACCCTTTACTTGCCCCCCCTCCCTTGCATCTGGTAACCGCCATGCTGTTGTCTGTCTGTATAATACATAGCAGCAACTTGTTTTTGCTGCTACATTACATAATTTCCCCCCCCCCCATCTTTTCCAAACTTCAGTTCAAAGCCTCTGTAATGAAATGAAATAACAGAGTGCATCACCCATAGTGTTATTTTATAGAAACTTTGTTCATTGATGGGTGTGTGTAAGATTGCATTATAAAATGGATTCTTATTGTTGTCATAGTAAAAAAAAATGTTTGAAAGTCCTGTTATCGTATTTGCCAGAAATACCAGTAAGGCTTCAAGGAAGCCTATACACAACCAAAGGTTTGTAACATGATCCAATGGGTTGCGAGAAGAAAATATTAGAACCTCTATTTCTCTTTCTTGTTTTTAGTGTAAAAATTAGGAAAGGAATATTTTGTATCTGTGTTTCAGAAAATATACAAGGTTCGAAGAAGTTAGGCATTTTATTATGTACTTTCAATTAAATGAACTTGCACAAAATGGACAGGCCCCTAAAAAGAGATCCTGCCAAGAAACCAAGGACTTCAAGATAGGAAGAGCAGGTACAGTGAGAAATAGCTGCATTGGCAGTCCTTCTACACCTGGTGTTTCCTGACCATGTTATAGTGAAAAACAAATGGAAATTTGCCAAGAAGTCATGCAAAACTAAACACACACACACACACACACACACACACACACACACACACACACACAAAACCCCCCACAAAGTTATCAAGAAGACTTCTCAGAATATAAATTTGCACTCACTACCATCCTTAACAATAAAATTTTTCTTGAATCATATATAGTACCTTCAGATATTAGCAAAAAAGTAGCATGTAGCCATGGCATAAAAATGTGCAAGGTATTTAAAAATTAACAAATATTTTATTTTTAAAAGCCTACATGTTTTTACCAAGTTTAAATTATTTAATGCACGATTCATATTTTATAAAACTTCATCAAATGTTATGCTAAAGGTTTAAAGTTTGAGGTTTTTTACTAATCGCAGAAGACAAAAAGCCTCACAGTGTTGGAGAACCATTCGCTTTTCCTATTGTAGCAACTAAAAGTGGCCAAGGCAACAAGTGGACAACATGAAGACAAACTAAAATGTATTCTTTTGTGAGCAAATACTCATATTACTGGAATACACATAGAAAATAGTGGTTAAAATGGAAAAAAAACATATTAGAATAAATTACACAGCTTTGAACAAATGCTAACTATATCATTAGATGAAAGTATACAAATGTTTCTAACATGTTATAGCAGATTTATTCAATAGCCAGCAAAGCAATTATGAAATGCAAGAAATACCACTTTTTTTGTGGATCACTGAAGGAAAGAGGTAGCAGAGAAGATATACAAAGTGAATATATTATTAATAAAAATTGTATTTTGTGGAAAAGATGTTTAAGTGTAACCACTAATGAAAAGTTGTTTTGACCTGGATTAAAAAATATCAGGATAAGGTACAGAGCAAGAACCTCTCATAATATTCACTGAATTATTCATTGTAGCAAAGAAGCTGAAACCAGGAATATACAAAGTCCTACAAGACAGCATCTGTATCTATATGGGTATAGCTAAATTACAAAATATGGTCTTTAAAACATGGTAGAATATTTATAACATTTTGTAATGAAACATGGAGTGATCACTAAATATTTTAAACACACAATTTACTTATTTAATGGCAAAGCACTAAAAAGTTATTCAACTTAAGGAATTACTTTTTTCTTTTATAAAAAATGAAATTCTGCTCTAGCCGGTTTGGCTCAGTAGATAGAGTGTCAGCCTGTGGACCGAAGGGTCCTGGGTTCGATTCCTGTCAGGGGCACGTACCTTGGTTGCAGGCTCCTCCCCGGCCCAGGCCCTGGTCAGGGCTTGTGCAGGAGGCAACCGATCGGTGTGTTTCTCTCACATCAATGTTTCTCTCTGACTTTCCCTCTCTCTTCCACTCTCGCTAAAAATCAATGGAAAAATATCCTCGGATGAGGATTAACAAAAAAAAAAATTTAAAATCTGTAGACATTTTCTATAAGTTATTGTTACTATTAGAAATTATTATGCTACCCAACATAAACTTTAAAAAAAATAATGCATTTAATTGCTCTCTAAAGATTAAAGTGACTTTTAAAAATGTATAAAATGTTATTACTTTTAAAAATAAATCTGTGTCATAGAAAGACAATTTTGAAAATGGCTACCTGGAAATAAATCCCCATTATATTTATTGCTGAAAACAATATAGTGATAGTCCTTGACTGACAATGGGGGTTACACCTGGATAAACTATCATAACTTGAAAATACTGTAAGTAAAAAATGCATTTAATACACCTAACTTACAGAACATCACAGCTTATCCTCGCCTGCCGTAAATATGCTCAGAATACAATATCCAAAAAAATGCTGGCAACGCAATGCACTGTGGAGTAGCCATTGTTCACCATCATGATCACAAGCCTGGTTGGGAGCTGCCGCCCACTGCTGGTCCCAGAATCACGAGAGAGAATGTACTGCCTATTGCTTGCCCAGGAAAAGACCAATATTCAAAATGTGAAGTGGAGTTTCTACTAAATGCATATCACTTTTGCACTCTTTTTAGTAAAGTCAAAAAATCCTAAGTTGAACCATTGTAAGTTGGGGACTGTATGTATGTGCTACCTATAAAAATATTTGTGAATATAGACTTAAAAATTTGAAAACAGAGTTTTCTAACCACTAAAGACTCCAAATGAATAGTTTCAATAGATATTAATTCTATTGTTAAAATATAAAGTGAACACCTTCCCTGTTAGTTTTCAAGAACAACTGATTGACATAATTACTAGCTGAATTTCAACAACAAAACTTTTGCAGCAGAAAAATGTCACTGAAGAGTAATTATTAAAATCCAGGAAGTGCAAACAATGATGCGCTTCCTCCCTTTGGATTTACATATAATTTTGTGGAGTATCTTTCTCAGTTACGATGGCCATAAATCCAAGTATCAAATCCACATGAAAACCAATACTTCAAAATCATATAAAAATAAGTGTTGAAAGTTTGAACTAACTATATTATTGAGAATCATTCTAGTTGAAGTTTCAAATAGATAAAAAATGTCAGACTTCACAATATAGACCTTCATTTCTCTTACATTCTCCTCGCACAGAAGGTGACCGGGTGACCTTCCTACAAGCTGTGATTTAAGGAGCCCAGGCTTCTTCCATCACGTGACTCACCAACCCCTATGGTTTTGCATCATCTGTATGCAACCAGTGGAAACAGAAAGAGAATAGAAAAAATTGGTTTTGAAAAATATAAAATATTGCTTAATATAAAAATTTATGACAGTGAACAAAATATAACTAATATAAAATAACATTTCTATGGTGTTCTAAATCTTGACATTCAGCAAATAGCCTGTGATTTTAAAATGACCGTAATCAAACCCACAACCTGCAACATTTTGGTGTACGGGACAACACTCCAACCAACTGAGCCACCCAGTCAGGGTTGTATTAGCATATTAATATTCCAATTTGGGTCTTGGGAAGATTCAGAAAAAAATGACAGTATGTAAAGTCATAAAAGAAATAATAAAGTAACTTAGTCCATAAATCCTCTCAATAAAGATTCCACCATTTAGGGGAAGCAAACAAGATTGACTTGTCCTATTTCAAGGAAAAATAACCTTAACAAAATACTTCCCAGTACAAATTCTGGATCCAGGAAATAATACACATCTGTGAATAAGGCTTCTTTCTTAGTGTTTACATTAGTAATGATCGTGATGTTGTTTCTCGTTCAGTTTATTGCTCTAAGTTCTTATGTGACGTTTGTGCTTTACTTGGCCAGTGGCCATACAGGGGAGCAGTGAGCATATGGAACAGATAAAGACATCTTCCCTGCCTATTCGAGAAATAGTATCCTTCCTGTAAAATAAAAACTCAAGTTTTGCAACATAGAAGTACATTTTGGAAAAGGAGAGGTTAGTAGATATCCGAGGAGACAGTTACTGCAAATGTAAATTCTCATGTCCCAGCATACTTAGCATGTAATTTATTTAACTAAGGCAATTTTAAAAATTTACTTGAAACTATCTATATATATAAAAGCCTAACCACTGACCACCAGGGGACAGATGCTCAATGCACAGGATCGGGCTCCCTCCTGTTTAGATTGGGCCTGTGGGGATTGGGCCAAAACCGGCTATCCGACATCCTCCAAGGGGTCCAGGATTACAAGAGGACGCAGGCCAGGCCAAGGGACCCCACCAGTGCACAAATTCATGCACCGGGTCTCTAGTATTTTAATATGTACAGAAGAGTGACTTGAAAAAATAAGTCTTTACATGTATTTCATTAATATTTTAAGTGAAGATTTTAAAAATTGGTAGGGTTTTTCTTTTTTTCATTTCTTTGTTAATGGTTCCTAAATATTAATATTTGGACTGACATTGTAGTAAACCTAAAAAGTGTATGTTGCTTTACTGAAATGTCAGGTCTTAAAACATTACTAACTACATAAAGTACTTATAATCACAGTTATTTCTCTTTGAAAAATTAAGTCAACAACTTAAAATACAGTAGACAGTATATCCATAATGCAATACATAATTCACAATGGGGAAAAAAGTGAAAACATATAGATGTGCTGATATAAAAATAAAATCCAAAATTCTTTAGAAAGCATATATATAGAAAAATTGAGAATTAAATAAAACTTCATATGAAAATACTTGTTACTATTGAGAAGAAAATATAAGAAATATAAAACTGCTAATTACACCAATTTTAATCATACATTTGGGAAAGGATGGCTGGGACTCTGTGGGCTGAACTTTATTGCAGGCTGTCAGGACTTTATTTATTAATTTCACTCCTACATCCCCTCCTTAAAGAGGAACCATGATGACATGTAAGGTCTCAGTTATAACATCAATTACGACCCTTTGTCAAGTAGTACTCAAAATACTTGGGTGTTCACCTTTCCTCAGTATATATCACCCAACTAAATGGCCCTGCGTCTCTTTGGGACAGACTGGGAGAATCATTGGAGTATATACTTTTGTGGTCTTGTGGGGTCCTTCTTCCTAGGAACTTGGACTCTTCTTTAATCAATGATTCCAAATCTGAAAGTCTGCTTAGGTCTTAGAAATACACAAGGGATTGTGACGTTTTATCGGGGACAACTGCCCTCAGTCTTCTTACTTTTCTTGACTATAGATGCCAAGTAGCATGCTTGATGGCTCTCCTGTTTTTTTGATCATAGGTGTATCATTCTCCGTGAAGCAGGTCTATAGCTCCTCGTGGGCTAAGCCCCACTGGATGCCCCTCTGACCATCCTAGTCATAGTAATTGTGGCCTGCTGGCTTCTGGGGGTCCAGTGCTACCCCCAGGCCTTTATAACTTTGGAGACTATAATGGCATAATGAGCCCAGTCTGGGACTGCCTCTCTTATGGTCAGCCCGGCTGCAGAGGAGCCACCACTGAGCTACTTAGTAATGTGGGTGCCCCCCTCACCAGCATGGCTTTGGTGAATGATGTATCCTCTGGACCAGGGGTCCTCAAACTTTTTAAACAGGGGGCCAGTTCACTGCCCCTCAGACCATTGGAGACCCGGAATATAGTTTAAAAAAAAAAAACTATGAACAAATTCCTATGCACACTGCACATATCTTATTTTGAAGTAAAAAAACAAAACGGGAACAAATACAATATTTGTATTTGCATGTGGCCTGCGGGCCGTAGTTTGAGTACCCCTGCCTGGACCCTCTCATAGAATGTAATCCCCTGGCGGGTCTTCTGGCTGCACAAAAAATATTCATTCCAGCTCACCCACCTCCCTAAGGTTTTCCATTCCTTCCTCCACCACTGACAAGGCACCTCAGGCATTTCTGCTTTGCTTGGCATTGGCTGACATCTTTTCCAGGCTTCTAGGACCACTATAGCAGTTGCCAGGTATTAAGTCTCATTTCCAAAAAAGTGTCTTCACCTTTGAAATATTTGCTAACCCACAAACTCATTCCTGTAATACCAGCAATTTCCTAAGCGAAAACAACTTTTTATTCACCCCTGTAAAATAGTAGGTTGTTAGAAACAACAGGAGAAAAACCCAAAGCCACAACAGTAATTTCAAAGGCATCATTTGTAAAGTTCCCTCAAATTACCTTGTCAAGCTCTTAGACTGATCTGCCTTTGACATAACAGAAGTTAAATACTTAGTATGGTTTGAAACGGAAACAAAACCATTAATTCCTTGCCTCTTTGTATTTTATAAATGTGTACAGCATGCATGTCAAATTCAAAGGCTAACACGGGCCAAATAAACGAGGCATGCGGCAGGTGGGCTGTGAGTTTGACATGCTTGGTTCCACTGCAAAATACAAGTTAAACGCTTGTGTTTGTCTCATGCAGAGCAGCAAGTTAAAAGTGAACAGTCAGGAAGCTGGGTCTGGCTACTTGCATTATATCATTTGAGCAACCAAGAATGCTCTTCCCACCCCGAATAGCTGCAGCGATCCTGAGAAAGAACAAAGTAGGTGGGATCTCAATACCAGATATCAAGCTGTATTACAAAGCCACTGTTCTCAAAACTGCCTGGTACTGGCACAAGAACAGACATATAGATCAATGGAATAGAATAGAGACCCCAGAAATCAGCCCGAACCAATATGCTCAATTAATATTTGACAAAGGAGGCAAGAACATACAATGGAGCCAAGATAGTCTCTTCAATAAATGGTGTTGGGAAAATTGGACAGATATATGCAAGAAAATGAAACTAGACCACCAACTTACACCATACACAAAAATAAACTCAAAATGGATAAAGGACTTAAATGTACGACAGGAAACCATAAAAATTCTAGAAGAATCCAAAGGCAACAAAATCTCAGACATATGCCAAAGCAATTTCTTCACTGATACAGCTCCTAGGGCAGTTGAAACTAAAGAGAAAATGAACAAATGGGACTACATCAAAATAAAAAGCTTCTGCACAGCAAAAGAAACCATCAACAAAACAACAAGAAAACCCACTGCGTGGGAAAACATATTTGCCAACGTCATATCTGATAAGGGCCTAATCTCCAAAATTTATAGGGAACTCATACAACTTAACAAAAAGAAGATAAACAATCCAATCAAAAAATGGGCAAAGGATCTAAATAGACACCTTTCAAAAGAGGACATTCAGAAAGCCAAGAGACATATGAAAACATGCTCAAAGTCACTAATCATCCGAGAGATGCAAATCAAAACAACAATGAGGTACCATCTCACACCTGTCAGAATGGCTATCATCAACAAATCAACAAACGACAAGTGCTGGAGAGGATGTGGAGAAAAAGGAACACTTGTGCACTGCTGGTGGGAATGCAGACTGGTGCAGCCACTATGGAAGACAGTATGGAGTTTCCTCAAAAAACTGGAAATGGAACTCCCATTTGACCCTGTGATCCCACTTCTAGGAATATATCCCAAGAAACCAGAAACACCAATCAGAAAGGATATATGCACCCATATGTTCATAGCAGCACAATTCACCATAGCTAAGATCTGGAAACAGCCTAAGTGCCCATCAGTAGATGAATGGATTAGAAAACTGTGGTACATCTACACGATGGAATACTATGCTGCTGTAAAAAAGAAGGAACTCTTACAATTTGCAACGGCATGGATGGAGCTGGAGAGCATTATGCTAAGTGAAATAAGCCAGTCAATGAAGGAAAAATACCACATGATCTCACTCATTCATGGATAATAAAGACCATTACAAACTTTTGAACAATAATAGATACAGAGGCAGAGCTGCCTCAAACTGATTGTCAAACTGCAGTGGGAAGGCCAGAGAGGGTTGGGGGGCAGAAGGGAGGGGAGTAAGAGATCAACCGAAGGACTTGTATGCATGCATATAAGCAAAACCAATGGACATAAGACACTGGGGGGGTAGGGGAAGCCGGGGTATTGTCAAGGGCGGGGAAAAAAAGGACACATATGTAATACCCTTTGTAATACTTTTAGCAATAAAAAAAAGAAAAAAAAAAGAATGCTCTTCCCAAATGGGCTGCAGAGCCAGGACTACTTGCCTCCTATAGAGACGGGCAGGATCACTGTAAGTGTCAAAAGATCCATTTCCCAGCTTCACCACTTAGTATGTGCGTGAGCTTGGGCAAGTCATTTACCCGCATTGAACTTCACATTCTTTACCTGTGACAGAGTGGTGAAAATACCTGCCTTTTGGCTTGTGTATGATCACGTTAAGGGGAAGGGTAAATAATTCAGTATGACTAGATCATGGAGTGTGTTCAGGGGCCTGGAAAGCAAGGAAGCTGGAACAGAGGGCAGAGTTCGGCAGATGAAAGGCACAGAAGGGACCCAGGACTGTATTCTGAGGGATTTTAATTAGTCAGAAGTTTGTGCTGAACTGTATATTTTTGTTTCAGACCTAAATCTTAATTAAGTTTTTGATTTCTTCATGTCCCCAAGCAAACAGCATCTTCGGGTGTCTTTTAGGAAAGTCGCAGCTTTTACTTAATTAGGACTATTTCGATTAGAGTATGTCACCTCTTATGAAGAAGGCAACAAACAGTTGATAAAATTCCAACTATCACCCCCCCCTCCAAAAAGAAAACACCCATGAGGAAGCAAAAACTTAAACAAATGTAGTCAAAAATAAAAATAGTAACACTGGGATCAATAATACATAAAATACATGTGATCAAATTCATCACCTGCATCAACAGAAGTCCACAATTTACATTTTGCAATCTAGACCTGCCCTGTACAGTATAATAGCTACTAGTGACAAACTCTTGAAACATGGCTAGTGCAAATCGAGAGGTGCTCTACTTGTAACACATACCACAGATTTCAAGCACTTAGTACAAAGAAGTAATATTTTTGTATTGATTACAAGCTGAATGATACTTTAGAGTAGTGTTGTATAAAATATATTGTTAGAATTAATTTCACTTTTTTCTTGTACCTTTTATTTTATTTTTTTGTTACTCCTCACCCAAGGATATTTTTCCCATTGATTTTTAGAGAGAGGAAGGAAGGAAAGGAGGGAGAGGAAGAGAGAGAGAGAGAGAGAGAGAGAGAGAGATTGATGTGAGAGAGACACATGGATTGGATGCCTCCCGCATGCCCCTGACCAGGGCAGGGGATTGAACCTGCAACTCTAACTACAGTGCACCACCAGCCAGGGCTCTTTTACCTTTTTAACGAGGCTACTAGAAAATTAAAACTGCATATGTAGCACACCTTCCATTTTGATAGAAAAGCATTGTTAAGTATTCTATAGCAGTATTAGAAGCAGAAGCAGCATCTCAGTACCATTATTCTCTTTTCAGGTAATTTCTGAAGAATGATTAAAGATGCTTGAAAACAGAGGTTATGTTCATCTTTATAATTCCTGGAGCAAGCGCAGTATGTATCAAAGGTCATGAGTGTAACTATTTTTTTTAAGTTGGGAAATCACAGTGATGGTCCTACCAAAACCTGAGCCTTGAGCTGACCTTTGTTGTTGGCTGTGATCAGTCTTTGTGCTCTGGGTTGGTCCTCAAATCCTCTCTTCAGAGAGCACAGGTGTATGAGAGAGCAGTGTGAACAGCTGGGAGTAAAGGAGCCGCCATAAACAAAGTGGGTCTGCAGATGGAGAAAGCTGAGACTGCCATCAAGTAAAAATTCAAATCATTTGCATTCTCTTGTGTTTGTGTTTCACTTTTCCTTATCTATTTCTGGAGGACAGAGAATATATAAGGGCCGAGCCCAGGTTCCATACAGGCAGGAATTTGACAGGTCTTTTTCAGAAAGAAAGGGAGCGAGGGAGAGGGAAACACCAATAATGTGAGAGAATCATTGATCAGCTGTCTCCCACACGTACCCCCCTCCCCCCCTGCCTCACTGGGGATTGAGCCCACAACCTGGGCATATGCCCTTGATCGGAATTGAACCCGGGGCCCTTCAGTCACAGGCCAACACTCCAGCCAAGGCCAGATCCTTTTCAATGATAAAACTTTTAGCATGATTTGGCTTGCTCTTTTACAATTGTGTTAATGACATGTGCTACCATGCAAGGTTCTTATTTTTTTTAAATATTTTAATTGCTAAGTTACAGCATTAAAGGTTTTATATGTGTTGGAAAATATACCTCTTGTGGTTTTTATTAGATTATCTGTAAATTGCAGAATTGTTTATAATTGGAGGAGAACAGCAGGTGGTTGCCTATGGAAATTAAGCTTCAAAGTCATCCCATATCAACCCATTTTTTCACCATTGTGAGCATTCAAGAGATCATTACTATTGTTCCAAATTTGCTGTTATGTGTTCGGAACATATAATCCCCAAAAGGTAATAAACTGAGTTTCTGGAAATGCTTTTTGACAAAAGTATCTGTCACTTTGGTTGACCTGCTAAAAATGAAAAGAATAGTTTAAGTATCTGAGACGCTGAAGATAATCCTCTGATCACATCAAAATCTCTGCGCAAGTCCCTCAGCTGTAAGCAGATTAGATCCTGATTCATTTGTCCTGGCAATAAAGGAAAAAAAGCAAGGGAAAAACTCTCCTTAAAGGTTTACTAGCCCCCACCTAAGAATATCTTGTTGTTTTTCTTTGTAAGAACAGAAAGAAAATCTCTTTATCTTTTGTTAAGTGTTGAAGCTGGTAGGATCATGAAACAAACAGCAAACATTAATCGGCAGGCCCGCCTGCCAATTTCACCGTCATCTTCCTGTGATAGATGTAAGTGGTGGGCCAGTTGGTAAATTAATTTGAAAGTGATTTTAAAGAATGCACTCACTGGCTGGTGGATCTCCATAGCAGGCAGACACTCAGGGCTAGAACTTTGTAATTAGCTGCTGGCACAGGACCCTCAGTGATGATTCAAAGCTACATTAAGAGAGAGCTACCGGAGTAATAATAATAATTCAACCCTGAAGGTTCGCACAGCTGGCGTGTCAATTTGGCATTGCTGGTCTCCTGAGCTATTAAGTATGTTGGAATTTCTCATGACAAACACAGAGAGAGGGCCTCCCTGCATGGCTCATTCAGGTCTGAAGAGTTTACTGATAATCACACTCCGGGTTCTGTGCCTGCCCCACAGGAGCTACAGCTAATTATCAGGAAAGCCCTTTGCAGCGAATACGCTCAGAGTCAGAATTTCAAAGTACAGGCTTCAACGTGATAGAATGTCTGGAATATTCAGTATCAGCCTAATAATACCAGGCATCAAATAATGTAGATGTATGCATGTGTATTTAGGTATATGATCATTCCCTCACGCCAACAAAAGATTTCTTTTCAGTTTTTTTTTTGTTTTTGTTTTTTGTCTCCTCAACTAATTTACACAAGGGGCTCTTGTTTTCAAAGTGGCATTATTGATATTATAATTTCCAACAAAAATCACCATTTTTAGCAGTTGTGTTTTGTGAATATGCCCTTGCTGGTTTGATCTTCCTCTGACATTAAAAAAAGTAGGATAATCTAGATCAGCGGTTCTCAACATGTGGGTCGCCAACCTGTGGGTCGCGAGCCCTTTGGGGGGCGAACGACCCTTTTACAGTCGCCTAAGAAGACCATCGGAAAACACATATATAATTACATATTGCTTTTGTGATTAATCACTATGCTTTAATTATGTCCAATTTGTAACAATGAAAATACATCCTGCATATCAGATATTTACATTATGATTCATAACAGTAGCAAAATTACAGTTATGAAGTAGCAACGACAATAACTTTATGGTTGGGAGTCACCACAACATGAGGAACTGTATTAAAGGGTTGTGGCATTAGGAAGGTTGAGAACCACTGATCTAGATGATTATCTGGAGGGGGTCTGGAGACACTCAGGCATTTGTTCAACGTGATTGTGAAGTTGTGCAGGGGACTTGCATGCGATTTTCTGGTTCCCAATCTACTGTGTAGCACACATTGCAACAGGGCCACAGAGAAAATGAAACAAGAGCATTTAAACTGAGGGTTATATCAGTGTGCCCACAAAGAGGACACTATTAAACCACAAATGTCAGGAAGCCCAATGTGACCTGGCCCAATATTGACTTGCACCTCTCTGGGGACCATATCCTAATGGTTTGTGTTGCTCCAGTGACATTCTAGAATGGAGGATATGTTCAGAGTTGCTTCGGCTACAGCATTTCATTGCCTCCAAAATAGAATATGCCCATCTGGGAACACTAGTGTTATGAAAAGCAAAGGAACAAGCAGAGAAGGAGACTATAGCCACGGGGTTCTTGACAGAGGCATTCCAATGCTTCAAGGCGTACCATTGGACAGTCATAAAGGCAATTTGTATCTTGTTGTTGTTATTGTTAATTCTCACCTGAGGATATTTTTCCATTGATTTTTAGGGAGAGGGGAAGAGAGAGGAAAAGACAGAGAGAAACATCAATGTGAGAGAAACACATCGATTGGTTGCCTCCTGCTCAAGCCCTGACCAGGGTCTGGGCCAGGGAGGAGCCTGCAACCAGGATATGTGCCCTTGACTGGAATCAAACTTGAGACCAGTTGGTCCACAGGCTGATGCTGTATCCAGTGAGCCAAACTGGCTAGGGCGGCAATTGATGTCTTAGCTATTAAGCAACTGTATTATCTTTTCCAATCCTGTTCTTCTCTTAGTCCTGTTCTTTGTTGGCATACAGCTGTTCTCAGTAATTCTTCTTTTGTTGTTGTTCTTAGTACTTCTTCAAAGCCATTTTAGTTTCTATAAACTAATTTCTTTTTTATTCCCAATTTTAGTAATTTAAGTGTTCTGTCATTTTTGTTTGGTGGATTGGGCTGTTCAGGCTACCATAACAAACTACCACAGGCTGGGTAACTTAAACAGCAGAAATTTATTTTCTCACAGTTCTAAAGGTTGGAAGACTAAGATCAAGGTAAAGTCTGAATTGACTCCTGGTGAGAGCTCTCTTCCTGGCTTGTAGATAATCACCTTCTACCTGTGTTCTCATATGGGCTTTTCTCACTCACTGAGCATGCAAAGAAAGGGAGCAAGCTCTCTGATATCTCTTTTTGTAAGGACACTGATCTTATTGATCTTGAACTTCTAGCCTCCAGAACTGTGAGAAATATATATTTCTTAATATTTAAGAGGTTTTAAGCCACCCACTTAACCTAGCTAAAATTGTGTCAATCCTGTTTATCTATTCAAAGAAAAAACTTTTGGTTTTGTTGCTTCTGTATTGTTTGATCTCACTCACCTTTGCACTCATTTATTCCATCTATGCTAAGGTTCTGGGAATATAGATAAAGAACTCATACTTTTTGCCCTCATGGAGTACGCTGTCTACTACATCCTTCTCAGAGTTTAGTGCAAATAAAGGTCTTCTTGGAAACTTACTTGAAAATGAATATTGCTAGATCATATATACATAAAATATATTTTATTATATCTAGACTCTGACCTAGTTCAGGTCCTAGCCCACCTGAGGATAATTAGGTAATTATTATGCCCTCATTTATGGACCATACACTGAGACTTATAACTCCAGTAAGTGAGTAAACCATACTAAGCTGTAACTATGATACATGCAGGAAGATCTCTGACAGAGGTATGCAGAGGCAGCTGGGAATTACAGAAGCACTAAGAAGAATCAATAGACTTAGAGGTAAAATTGGGGGTGAGCAGAGAAGGCTATTAAAAGTAAATGATAATTGAGCAAGGTTTAAAAAACATAACTAAGTCTTATCCAGCTAAAAAGAATGGGAAGGGGAAGGCTTAGAGAGTTGGAGGCCAGAATAAGATAGGAGAGGGAGGAGAGCGTCGTACGTACAGGGAGTCTGACGTTACTGGAGAGTGAAGTGGCATTTCTGTATGAATGACCTACTTGGTTATGCCTTTTAAAATTCATACATCCTTGTTAAAAATCCTGGTCTAGGTCCAATTGGGTTGTCATCCTTTGAAGCAAATCTGTGTGGATTTAGGCTTTAATTTAGTTTGATTAGGTCAAGATACCATCACTGAGGCACTTCATTCTGGTAAAGATTTCTTACTAAGGAACCCAATTGCTTCATTAGATGAGTAGACTTGGCACATCAGTGAAATGGTTTTCAAGGTATGTGAGCAGCCAGATGATGGTGATTATATTAAACTTGACATCTATGCTAGTCAATTAATTAATGGCAAAAGCAAAAACAAGTGCCTTGAGTTGAAGGACATTATGTTTTCTGCCCTCTTAACCAGAAGAATATTATATGTACATGTGGACAGTAAATGAGAAATAGTGGCATTGACAACCACTACATAAAACCAAAAATAAAATAAATACAGGAGAGATTTCACAGTCTTTGATATGCTCATCAAAGACTGAGAGTAACTTCTGGTGGGTGTAAAATATTTTTTTAAAAGTCTATTCTTTGCATTTATATTTATAGAAGAACCATTTTAAAACCAGATCTACTGGTT